TTACATAATATTTTTATATATATGCTTTTTTGTTATTTTATATGTTACATGTATTGTATTTTCATCATTTGTATTGTTTTTAAAAAAATTGTTCCTTTATTTGTTATTTATTTTGCATATTTCTTTCTTTTACAAAAAAAATAAAATAAAATTTTTTACTTTTTTACAATAATGTGCTTATGTTCGAATCATAAACAATATAAAATTTTATAAAAAATAAAATGATTTTTTATAAATAAATAACAAACAAATAAAATATTTTAAAAATCTAAAACGGATTATTAATCTAAATTATTTTCTTTTAAAAAGAAAAATAAAATACATTTTGTTGAATTTTTTTCATTTTTAAAATTAAGAAAAAAATTATAATCAAATTCTCTCTCGAATATTAAAACGCATTTTTTTAATTCAAAAAATAAATTATTCAATATGCCAGCTCAATTATTTACAATCTTGTATATTTCAGAATATAAAAAAAAGATTTCAAGTGATTATTTTGTAGAAAACGCTATTGGATACACTAGGCTTGATGAAAATGATTCAACTCAAGTTTTTAATATTACTGTTTTTTATCCTATTGAAGAATCGAAACCATCTTATGTTCCCAAATTAAAAGAAGGTCTTATTGTATCTATTGCAAATTCAAAGTTTACGAAAAGTTCAAAAAATGGTGAAATTGATGTAAGAAATATATATATTTAAAAGAAATACTTATTTTATTTATTTATTTTAATTAATTTATTAATACGTTGATTTTGTTTATTTTGAATTATATAATTTTATTTTAGCTAATTTTAAATTTTGTGATTATTTTACACATTTCTCCTGAAGATTTATTTATTCATCAGATAAATATAGTAGGTGTAGCTTTGGCTTATGAATCTGATATTATCAATGAAATTGGCGTTCAGTTTGAATGCATCATAATGGACTATATATCAAAAGATAAACCAACTGAAACAAAAATCACATTATTTCATTTGACTGGCAGTCATTTTACAAATCGAACAATACTGTAAAACGTGTTTCTTCAATTTTTTTTGCAGGTTCTTTAACTTTTATCGAAGATAAATTCTATTTAGAATTACATAATTTTAATTTTTTACGTGATCAACAATCTCTTACCTCTTCAACCTCTTCCAAACAAATGCCATGATCAAATTCATCAAAATTATCCTCACCAATTTTAAATTCAATGACTCAAGCACTTCACAAAAATTCTATGCAAATCATAAAATCAACAATCCTGATACATAATAAATATCAACGATCTTTAAAGTCTTCACAAAACTTAACCATTTGCGAAGAATCTTCTGTATTCATTGACAAAGACACAAATTCTGAAATTGATCAGCAGGTTATTGTAACAACCTATACCAACCATTAGCAAATGCAAAACCTACGCAACTACTCAAACACGAACTATCAAAAAACCAAAACTTGCTGATCTTATGTCTAATGCTCTCGATTCTCATCATAAAGATAATGATGATAATTAAATTTTTTAAATTTTTTTTTATTTTATGTAAATTTGTTTTTTGAATAAATAATAAACATATTGATCAAAAAAATTTTTATGCAAATCAAAATAAGTTTTTTATTTCAATCAAATTATTATATATATATATATATATAAAATCTAAGCTAAAATAAAATATTTAAAAACCAAAATTACAAAAAAAAAAATACAAATACAAATAAATGCAAAAAGAAAAAAAAAGTTTCGTTTTAAAAAAATCCTATCCAAAAAAAAAAAAATTTCAATTCTTTATAAAAAAAATCCTTCAATTTTTGATTAAAAATGCAAACCAACCAATGAAATTCAATCAATAATTTTTTTTTGACCAAATTTGTTGAATAATTAATTTTTTTTTATTAAAAATAATTCAAAAATTACTATAAAAGAAATAAATTATTTCTATAATTAGATTATAGAATATTACTTTTTTTTTATTAAATTCAAATTTTAGACAAAATAGACTTATTTACCTTTCATCCAATTATATCATTCATTTAAAAAAATACATTTTCTTCATTTAAAGTTTTATCTTCAATATATATTATCTCTTCATACGTAGGAGATAAATCTTTATATTTATTATTTATAATTAAATAAAAAAAAAGAATTTTTTTTTATATAAGCATTTTTAAAATAGAATATTATTAAAAAAATTATAATCAAAATAATTTTTTTATCTTCTATATCTCTTTCCAATTCTGATTTAAATTCTGACTTTAATTTTATAAAAAAAATTTTATTAGAAAATTTATATTAAATATATTAATTTATTATATGAAAAAATATAATAAATCTAAAAATAAATCTATATTTACTTTCAATTTCTTTATTTTTTTTCTATTTTTAAGATAAATTTCCATTTCTTATTATAAGCATTGACTAAAACGAATTTTGTTAATAAATAATCAAAAAAATAATCCTTTCATTATATTAATTTTATTTGAGATAATTATCGGGGTTTTTCCAAAAATTGGTTTTAAATTTATCATAATAAATTTCAGCCAATCTGATCATCTTTCCATTCTTTTTGCTATTTTCATAATTTACCAGATTCTATAATACAAATAAAAAATTAATATTATTAAATATTTTCATATTATTTATAAATGTGTAAATATCAAATTTATATTTCTTAGATAAAAAAAAATAAAACTTACATTATAATCTTTTACAAGACTATTGAATATTTGTTTGCATTGATCACCAGTAAAAAATGATTTTTACTCTTTATTGATTTCATTAGCAATATTTTGCCAAAATTTTCTTTTATTTCTTTCATGTTTATAATGAAATTCATTATTTCCAATCTTCCTTTTTTCAATCAAACATTTAATTTTTTCATCAGTCTACTTAGCAACATACATGATAATTTAAAAAATTTTTTTTGAAATAATAATAAGCAAAAAATACTTTTGAATTGTTTTAATAAATGAATAAAAAAATTAAGTATTTGATTAAGAGCAATTTTTTTTTTGAAAAAATGAAAAAGAAATAACGAAAGAATAAATTAAATGAAAAAATTAATTTTTTAATGTCAATATGATAAAATGTGATTAAAAAGATTGTAAAAAAATTTTTTTAAAAAAAAAGAGAAAAGTGAAAAAGCATGCTATTTATAAAAAAAAATCTATTCAATATATTACTAATATAAAAAAAAATTATTAAATGAATATTTGCAAAAGTTTATTTAATTATAATAATTACGTAATGTACATTCGTTTCATTTAATTAGAATATCGCAAATAATTATTTCAAGTCAGATAAATTATTTTATTACTAAAATATTCATTAATTTATAATTACATACAAGCCAAATTATTCCATTTGATCAAACAATTAGTAATTCAGTATTTCGAGTCAGATAAGCCCTTTCTTTTGACTTAAATTTCGCAAATACTTATTAAATCATCATTACGTACAAGCTAATTAAAGATGGGAACTGTAATTAATATGTTGCAACTTTTAATGTTGCAACTTACGTTGAAATTAGTTTTAACCTATATATGTTGCAACTTATAATGTTGCAACATATATTGCAACTAATTTTAGCTTATATTGCAATATTTTGTAAATTTGAAATCAATTGCTTTACCATCTTTAAGCCAAATCATTCCATCAAATAATTAGTAATTCAGTATTTCGAGTCAGATAAGCCCTTTCTTTTGACTTGAATTTCGCAAATACTCATTAAATCATCATTATGCATAAGCCAAATCATTCTATTTAATCAAACAATTAGTAATTCAGTATTTCGTGTCATATAAGCCCTTTCATTTAATTTGAATTTCACGAATACTCATTAAATCATATGAATCGATAAAATATCTATAATAATTATTAATTTATTATTACAAATCATATGAATTATTCCTTTCAATTTGAAAATGATGAATATTTATTGAATTTATTATTAATTAAATTTTACGAGTATCTCATTAGTATTTTAATCACCCACTTTGATCCTGATTCAACCCTGATTTAACTACCATTGCTTTTGTATTTTCCTTCCTAAAGATAAAAAATCTCAAAAAAGTTTAACAATACCTTACAAAATTACTAAAAATTCCCAATTTTGGCTTCGTCGATCATCTGAAATTATCAAATTACTAGGTTAACTCTTACTCTTCGATACTAATTTAATTAGTTATGCGAGAATATCATCAGCGATTTAATCACCCCACTTTGACCCTGATTCAACCCTGATTTAACTACCATTGCTTTTGTATTTCACTTCCTAAAGATAAAAAATCTGAAAAAAGTTTAACATTACCTAACAAAATTACTAAAAATTCCCAATTTCGGCTTCGTCAATCATCAAATTACTCTTCGATACTAATTTAATTAGTTATAATCAGCGATTTGATTTCAACCTGATTTAACTACTTATTTATTTATTTTTTTTAACTATAATTTATATTCAAAAAAAAAATATTTCATATTTTTTTTTTATTTGTTTTTATTAAAATAAATAAATAAATAAATAGACAATCTTTATTTTAAATCAATCACAATTTTAATAATATTAATTAAAAAAAATTATATTAATATTTTAAAATTAAATATAAATATATCGATTGATTATTTAAAATTTTTATTATTTTATTTTTAATAAAGAAAATTAACATGTTTTATAATATATTTCAACATTATTCTTTTGATACAGATCTTTCACCAGAACTATTATTAAATTATCAAATAAATTCAGATGCTATGTTAAATGATTTGCAATATCAATTACAATCTCATCAAATTATGTCACCTTTAACTCCTCTCACTTCTATTTCACCTTTCTTTGCATTAAATTCTTTGCATTTACCATGAACACCATGCTCAAACTTTTTGAAATTAATAAATAATTTTAATTCAAATATTTTAAACCAATTTATTTGCGCTCTATGCGCATTCTGTGGTCGTCTTATATATCCTGAAAAATGTGAATGGTTATCTTACGATCCAAATTTTTTATATCCACTTTTACAAGCTTACCCTAAATCAAATCCCGAATCAATATTGATCTTTCATGTTAATCTTGCAAAACGTATTGCAATATGTTTATCTTATAAAAAACCTACAAGTAGATATACCTTTCCTTTTCTTCATCCTATTCCAAATGAAATTCAAGCTGTACCCTTGAATAATTAAATATTTTTATCTCCCGTATTCATGCATTATTGTTTAGGAAAAAATTCAGGATATAGCGCAATATATACAGAATATAAAACTCTAACTGGAACAATGAATTTTTCAAAAAACATGCGTTCTTTGATCTTATATTTTAAAATGATCAATGCCTATCTTGAAGATAATTCAAATAATTCTAATACTTGGCTTAATAATACTTTAATTCATGCTGCCAATTGGTTGAAACAAAATAATCCATTTTTAAAAAAATACTCTGACCTTTTAAATTCACCTGATTCTCAAATTGCTAATCCTTTTTCAAGAGCTTTTCATCTATCTGACGATAATTCTGCTCCACCCTTTTTATCTAATGATATTGTAGTCCCAAATATTAATTTTAACATTAAAATTCACAATGAAGATTATCATTATTTACATCTAATGGTAGGATTTGTCAGAACTCCAAACAATACTTTGCTACCAATATCCGTAAATGATCCAAATTTGGAAGTTTTATTATTTCCCAATTTATTTCCAGACGGAAAAGGACATTATTACCATGATAACCATTCTAGATCAACTTCAGCCCACAAAGAAACCTATTTTAAATATATTAAACAAAGAACACTCAATATTAATTCACGTTTTAGGCTTCATCATAAATAGTTGGCGTGGTCATATTTACAATTAGAAAAATTACGCAACCACCAAAATAATCAACGTATATAGAGATAACAACAAGCTAACAAAACATATCGTCCACCAACTGCTGCACAGCTTATTTGAACCTCTAATTATTCTAACAAGCTAATAATAGACAAATCATTAACAACCACCTTACCAACCTTCATTCGAACTGGTGAATCTTATTTTTATGAAAAATAGCATCACGTCAATACAATGATTTCCTCATATGGACTACCTTCAATTTTTCTTACACTGACAATGGCCAAAAGTTATTGGAAACACTTACATAAAATTTTTAAATCAACAGATAACCACCATATAATTCCTACAAACAGACCAGTACATACTACATAAGGTTCCTCAAAATCGAATCGAATCAAATATTTAAGCAATTTGAATTTGATTTGATTTTTTCAAATCGAATCGAATCG